CATTTCAGCGAAAATTAATTCCAGTTAAAATAAATTATTTTACAGTATATGAACACTTTGACAAAGCTTGACAAAGTTGGCAGTGGAGCTAAAAAGTTGACAGGAATGGCAAAGAGGAGTTGTATCTCACCTCTTCACCCTCTGTCAGTGTGACATGCTGGTATCTATCGAGAAAGGGATGTCCCATCACAACCCATTCACGTTGAATTAAACCTTGAAAACCTCTCTGTGTTCTATAATGCGGATCTAGGATGATCTGGACTAGAGAGGACACCAGACAAGAAAAGTCTCTTCCTTCGCTTTCTGAAAATGATAATGATTACTTCATTCATAAAGGATGGAATCGACACAGTATGTGTTCTGTTAGTTTTTACAGAATAGGATGTAAGTTACTTGTAAAATTTGTAGATTATGTGTTGGCTGATTTTTCATGCAACAAAATATGTTACATTATGATAGCTGAAAAACAGAACAGTTTTTTTGTTTGTTTGTTTATGAATGATGCAACAAAAACTGACAATATTTACCTTTTATAATAACTGATTTCCCCTGATTCCTGAGCGCAGAGGCAGTTTTTATGGCGGTTTGCAAACACTTCCTATCCACACGAAAAAAAAAAATATTTAAATCATAAAAATATTGTGGAAACAGTATTATTACATTTGTCTTGGAAACCATAGAAGCAGTCTCATCCAGCAAACCATTCAAATATTAAAATACTGTAGAATACTTTATTTTCGCTTGGAATTTATTTTCGCCAAAGGGATGATTCCGTGAAAATAAAATCCAGCGAATATACTTCTTTTCCTATATATGAAACTCATCAAAAATCAGTGAAAATAAATTCCATACAAAACGCCCAAAAAGCATTTTCAGCGAAAATAAAGTATTCCACAGTATGTTGGTAATTATACCTTGTATAGTGAAGCCATCTCGTTGAATCAACTTGCGAGTACCATTTGTCGTCAATGTTCATAAAACTTTTCATAGATTCTGAAAAAAGTTACAATAATTGTGAATAACAATACAAGATATTGTACATTGCATATGTTCTATTGGAACGGGAATTAGTGATATGAACATGTCAGCTCGGCCACCCTTACCTGGTACACATAGATCTTTCAGTTTTAGGTAGGATGACTGAAGATATGCGATTGTTGGACAGGACTTTTCTACATCAATCCAAACTGACGGCAATTTTTTGGGATGACTTTCTTTCACTGCTGCGAGCATCCTATAAGGAAGAAAGTGAAGAGTGTGAACAATAAAAACAAGTCATTGTTGATGACATAGTCCCTGTTGCAATTAGGGGAAATGTTATTCTTGCCTTAAATAAAGTTATATTGCGAAAAACGCAAGAAGGCTGACAGTCTGTTGTCTTTTATCTGATCACAAATTGAATTGTTATGGCCATGTATTGCTACATGCATAATATATACAATCAAATGTGAATGAAAACACAAGTCAAACATTAAGTGACTAACATACATTGTATATTTGTGAATATACAACTTGGGAGCATCAGTTAAAGTTTACTCACAAACATAGTCGTAATCTGTTGTATGAGCTAATATGCATCTCAGGAGGAAATTTATTTATGAATTTATTTGCACCCAGACTCACTCATGTTATACACAATGACCTACCGGTATGTACATTTTTATTATTTTTTGAATTTTAATTGATTTTTTTTACTATGAACATTCAATACAATCTTTGAAAGATATTCCTACAAATAAACATAGGCTTGTATTAAGATTTATGTGACAAAAACACAAGACTGTACATGTACATATCTGATCATAAAACAAGCCAGACGGACATCATTACAAATCAAAAAAATTAGCATGTATTCACTTTACATGTGTAAAATATCATTGAAAATGGCCAAAATATAGAAATAGCTACCAGTCAACCATTCTTGACCAGATTGTAAAAACTAATTATCATGTATATGTACAATTTCAAGAACAAAAAAAAGCATGTCAACAATACATTTTCAGAAAAATAAAAACATGTATGCTGTACTGTTGTATGTACCAAAGCATGTGAAGATACCGCATTTTTAAAAAAACAACAAGATTGCTGCCAGTCTGCCATCTTTGATCCGATTATAAAACAAAATAACATGGACATGTATACTAACATGTATAATATTTGTGCCAAATACGAATGAAAATGGTCTTGGAGATATAGTAGTATGGTCAAAAAGCAAGATGGCCGCCAGTCAGCCATCTTTGATCTAATTGTAAAACAAATTGTCATGGACATGTATCCTAACATGTATGATGTATGTAATAAACTTGAATGAAAACTGACAAAGTATGTCCAACATACCACAATTTCAAAAAACAAAATGTTGTCAGTTAGCCATCTTTAATTGAAACACTAAACCACAGCATGTGCATATGTCCGATACCGGTACTAAGTACATGAAAATAATACAGGATTCAATCCAGAACGAAAACCAAATTATAAGTTTTCGTTTTCAAACTTCATTCGAACAGGGACTAATAGACATCTAGCCAGTGTAAGTTTCATTTAGAAGTTCTCAATGTGATTGTACCTTTGTTCATGATGATCTTGAGTGGTGTCCATTCGGAGCGGTACCATTCTGTACAAGGAACTTCCATTTTTATGAGTCCAAGACCAAGTCTGTAGAAACAATTATCACAAGCACAATGAAATAGAATCACTAAAAATGTTTTATTAGGTCATAACGAAACAATTAATATGAACAGATGTTACTTACTAACACTCTGCCATCCACAAAATGATGAGACGCTTGGGTGACATCATTGTCAGTTAAACAGGAAGGAACTACAAAATATTCTGGAAGACTGAAAATGAGACGAAAAAGAATGACAATACACTTCAGATACTTTCATCTATGTGGTAATGATGATCAGAGTGGTACCTATATTGATAGACAGTATGGGTTTGAACACAAATATGAAAGTAAACTACTATTTCCATTCATAAACAGTTTCAAAATTCAGGAAAACATTTTCAAGTTATTTATTATACAATGAATATACAGTATGCTGGTAATAACTATTTAATTTAAAATTGACTAGAGAACAACATTTTTTAACACGCTGTTGAAAATGTTATAAAAAATTGCTGAATTTTGGTTTTAAAATTGGGCTGAAAATTGGGCAAAATTTATTTAGTTGAAGATTTTATTTTCTTGCCATACAAACTTTCATGTACCAAAAGAAATTAAATGGATAATATATTTCCATTTTTTTTTCAAAATTGCCCAGAACCAGTAGCTACCGGTAATGGAAAAGACAATCAAGGAAATTACAGAAAAACACAAACAAAATTGCAGAATGAGTGGCATAAATGCTCAAGGGTTTAACATATTACATTACCTGTCTGATATTTTAAAATCTTGATTTGACATGGTAACGCGAAATCTCTGAGCCCCGACTCTTATAAGTTCCCTCTCCCAGTCTGTGCAATCTCTAAAATGTAGCGTTGGTTCAGCAATGACTTTAGCAATAGGAGCATCGTGCCCATTCTCTTCCACATGTTGTTTGGGTTTGAAGGAGAACGCAAATAATAACGGCAGTTTGGTGGGGAACGCGTGATGTAGAATAGTATTCACGATCTGTTAAAAGAAAATTTACTATTTCTTAGATTCAACAATTC